TATTATTATTATTATTATTATTATTATTATTATTATTATTATTATTATTATTATTATTATTATTATTTTGTAATATTGCAACTGCATGGAATCCATCTGTTTTAATATGCAAAAGTTATTTCCCGATTTCAGTGTGTTTGTGCATCTCCTCTGAAATGTTTCGTTAATTTATTATGGATGCCAGTGAAGGTGTTTGATCCGCAAACTTGTACTTGGTCTACGTTGAAGACTTATGGAAAGCCTCCGGTATATCATTATTTATCCAAGGGTTTTCTTTTCGACTTTAAGTAATAAATTAGACTGTGTGCAAGTTCCATTTACTCCATTATTTTAAACTGAAGACATTTATAACAATGGATAGTCCGGAAACTTCACGAATTTATGTTTGGTACTTGTACAGAAATGAAGTCCGTTATTCTGAGAATTGTTCTAATGCTTGTTTGTGATTTGTAGGTATCTCGTGGAGGACAGTCAGCGACCCTTGTGGGAATGACTCTCGTCATATTTGGCGGACAGGATGCAAAGAGATCACTTTTAAATGACCTGCACATTCTGGACTTAGAAAGCATGACCTGGGATGAAATGGAGACGGTGTATGATTTCCTCTTTATAAAAACTTAGGAATTAAAATTATTTGATTTGAGACTGTATTTGTAGCCTGTTTCTACAACTACAACGAATCACAAATCCTTTGGGATAAGGATATTCCAGGGTTTAGTGCACATTTTTGACATCTGTTTGTGAAACTAAGCATTACAAAAAAACACGTCGTCTTTTGTTTTATGGAGGTTTTTATGCTATCATGCAAGGACATCTGTCTTATAGGAGAAAGATATCTTATAGCATCTTGATATGTGGTTCTCATTTTTCTTTTCCTTTTTTTCATTTTCTCTTCTAAGTCCCATCAGTATCTAGGGTTTTCAGCTGTTGGGTGATGCAGTATATTTATTTGTAACCTTCATTTTAATTTTGACACACATGGAAAAACAATATATGACAAATCATCTTTTTGATGCCTTCTTTCTTTTGCTCATGTAGTGAATTTATTTATTTTTTTTGGAGTAAATGTGTGGTTTTAGTTGATGAATTTGCACATCACACTTATTTCTGGTTGCCTTAATTTTGTAGGGGGGTTCCACCTTCTGCAAGGTCTGATCACGCTGCAGCAGTACATGCAGATCGTTACCTCCTTATTTTTGGTGGCGGCTCACACGCAACTTGCTTTAACGACCTTCATGTTCTTGATCTTCAAACTGTGAGATGAATGAAAATTTTAATTTTTCTTTGTCGCCAAGTACTCTACATTTCATTTCAGTAATTTTTCCAATACATGGTTTCCTGGTCGTGTTTTATAATGCCCCCTATATGCTGTAGATGGAATGGTCAAGACCAACACAGCAGGGTGAGATACCTAGTCCGCGTGCTGGCCATGCTGGTGTTACAGTTGGAGAGAATTGGTTCGTTGTTGGCGGGGGGAACAATAAGAGTGGTATGGTTTTCTATTTATATAATTCACTTGTTTCTTGTACCTTGTTACGCACAAACGAAAGAAGAAAATAAATATTAGTATGGCTTGATGCTTTTCTTTAGTTATTGCCATTGTCTAAAGGTGGAGGAGACTAATCAATGTCCATGTTGAGACTTCATGTTCATTGGTAACGACATGTAGTTCCATGGTTCTTCCTTATGTCATGAAGTGAAATGCCGTGGAGAACCTGGGGTTTCTTTTTGCGGAAATGTAGAATTTGAAGATGGCAATATAGGAAGTTTTGTATAGCTCTTTTGCATGGTCCCACATCATATCACTCCTGTTTTCTATAGTTCATTGTACACATCAACTGAAAGATTCATCTTGCTGCAGTATTTAAACGTACATATTTCAGTCTACTGGAGTGCCCATATTTTCTCATTTCTGGAGGTTTTTGTTTAATGTCTGTTGGATTCTCATGTTATATATTTTACTTTTTGGTCCCGTTAGCTGTTTTAATAAAACTAGGATTCTTTATAGTTTATAGTGACCAATGAGCTTCCATTTATTAGATGCTTGCTATTTCAATTATTGTAATGCCACTAGCTTTTCATCAGAGTTTGCTTATTGTGGTCGAATAACAATGTTGATAATTGATATTCAGAATATATAGTTTGAGAATCTTATTACATACTGTGATAATTCTAAGTGTTATCTCTTGGGCCAACTCTAATTTATGCTTGTGATCCTGCTACAGATTCATAATTTAGGGGAACACTTGCGATCTGATTGTCACTTTTTAGAAGAACATTCACATTTTCTTCATTCTGCATGTTCTTACTACTGCATGCAGGAGTCTCAGAGACTGTTGTCCTCAACATGTCCACATTGGTCTGGTCAATTGTAACTACTGTCGAAGGACGTGTTCCTCTTGCTAGCGAGGTATTATTGTTGAGAAATCAGTTGATTTTAGTGAAGGATTTGTATTTTTTATTTTATATTTGCCTGTGCGTCTATTCTATTATGAAGGATGATTTATTATTATTATTATTATTATTATTATTATTATTATTATTATTATTATTATTATTATTATTATTA